GCAACATCAAAACATAAACACTGGGACCAAATTAATCCTTGAGGAAACTCCCACCAAAAACCAGTGGTGTAACCCAGGGCCAAATTCGTCTTCCTATTTCCAAAAAGAGAAGTCTGCCAAGGACGGTGTGGCCTAAGAGGCACACAGAGCTGGCAGGCTCTCAAGTGTCGAAATAGAACCAGCATCGCCGGCCGCGTACTTCCCGTCCTCTTCAGGCAAGACACAGACAAGAAAAACAATCAAGTTGTCTGGTGAAAAAAAGCAGTTTCCTGGGATTGCTCTAGCCGCGCTGTAATTGTGATCAATCTGCATTGGCAAGTATTGGCTTTCCATGTGTGTTTCGCCTAACGCAGGCTGCCTGTGGAGAGCAGCTCAGGCAGGCTGATGCATGCTTGTTATCGCCAGCGTAAATATCTCTGCCTTGTGTTATTGTGGCACAAAGCAGCTGGACCATTTGAAAATCATTTAAAAAGCACTATAAAATTAGGGCTCCAGTGCTCTTATTTTATGACTTTCATGAGCAGCATTGCCTAGAGAGAAATTACCCTCTTTATTTTCAAGGCTAAAGGTTCTTTTAACATTCATCAAAATCAAAGTGCACCCTTGATAACACATTGAGCTGTTACTTATCTTGTACAGACTCTTTACCTTCTGCATAATATCACATTTGAGATCTCAGTTCTTCTATACAACTCATTTCATTGTTTCTGCTGTTGTTTTCACCAAGTGAATTTGCACAGTTTCAGGAGAGGCTGGCTGATGCCCTGAAACATATTCTTTCCATAATTCCTAATTTTTTTTTAATTTCTAGCACAATAGCCTGGAGTGGGTTTGTTACTGATCCTCCTATAAAAATGGTCAATTACCTCTTCTGACAATGGGTTTGTACAGACCAATTATGCACTGTAAGCAAAAGATTTTCAAGGGCATAAATAATACTTGGGTTCATAACCTGATAGACTCCCCTTTCTCCCTTTGAAAAATCTCTCTCCCATACATATATCTATCTATATATATAAAGTATTTGATAATTATCCTTTTTTCCATTCTTGTTTTCACAGACACCTTCTTTACCAAACTCAGGAAAACGGTGAGTGAACCAAAGTAGCATGACAAAATTCAAACAGTACAAAGGGAAAGGCATTCTTAGAAATAAAAAAGAAGTGCAGCTGTATCCACCATACATAAATTAAAATCTGAAGGGTTTAGGAAGAGACACTGCATGAAATCTTCAGCCACAGAGATTGCGAGTGGGGAATAGTGGGGCCCTGCACATCCTCTGTCCTGCAGCTCAGGCAAACCACTGTTTTCCTCTGTGTTGTTTAACCTGCCTCAGGTTTCAGTAAGACACCGGTTACCTTATTATCCAGACATCAAATACAGACTGAAGATAAACATTTAGAAAGTCATAACCTTAAGTCTTTGGCCCTCTTTGACCAGGATTTTGTCTTTATTTCCTCTGGGGGTAGCAGGCTGCAATCCTGCGCCAAAAGGTGGCACGCTTTCAGATCCTGCAAGGGTGGCTTGTTGGTGCTAATAGATACTGCTGCAAAAGGACTCGTAGACACATAGAGGAGCTGTAATGTCAAGATGCTGCAGCATCTTGCATGGAGGGGATGTAAATGGCCAGAAGGAAGGCTCTGTGTGTGTGAAGAGAGCCTCGCCACCATGCAGCACCTCTGCTAGAAGATGGAGTTTGAATTTTTAACCATCGAGGTCTTGCCTGTTGTCACCCAGTTTGTGGTTCATCAACAGGATACTTTAGCTAACAGAGGAATGAGACGGAGTTATTTGGTAATCACAATTGTTTATAACTCTAGGAAGGCAGAAAAAGGGACAGGCGTGACTAGCAGAGTCTGCTGTCACCATGGATAAAGTGGAACAGGTATTTAGTAAGTCAGGATAAGAAAGCACTTCAGCTCTATGGCACATTTTTCTATTCCAATGGTCAGCGAGTCAGTAGCCACTTTTCTGTGTCTGACAGTCCCAGAAACAGAGAAAAGGGCCCAACTGAGTTGCCCTAGCCCTGGACTCCTGCATTTCAGACCAGTTTATCTTTTGCGTTAGGACTGACCTACACAGTCTCAGCCATTACTTTTGGTAATGGTCAAGAGTAAGCAGCAGGAGAAGAGCAGAGTTTAGTGTAGCCCTCTCAAGACCTTATCCAACACTGCAACCATGATTGTGTCCTGTTCAGGAGCTCACTGCCTTTTGAGCTGACCTGTGCGTATGCTTGTTCCCTCTCGGGTATATACATCTTGCTCAATAGAACACATACAGAAAAGTCAGGTATATACACCTCACCCAGTAGAATAGAAATAGAAAATTTCATCTACCCAGAACTTTCAAATTCTTGGACAGCCCTGAGTTTTCCTTTGTTTTCAGGATAAACCTGTGCTGAACAGTTTTCACTATTGTCTTCACTAAAAATGATAACAAATTGACATTTGAAGTTAATGCCTCAGTGCTGAAAGGAGAGGATTTTCATTTCAAGCTTGGAAGGGGAACAGATGTCTATAGAGTGTTGTTCCCCCTACACACATACCAACTAAAACCTCAATGTGTAAAGGGTATGTGCTTGCTCATCTCATGTCCAGAGCATGATTAAGCATACCCTGGAGCTGTTTTGATCTAGATGATCAATTGCTGGAAGCTTGGCAAAAGTACCCAGGTTGTAGGATGTCCTGGATGAGGCAGATTCAAAGTAATTTTGTGCTCTGTTAAACCTATTAAATTTCAGGAAGGTTTAATCTACTTCTGGATAGCAGGTGGGACCCTGTAACCCAGATGTGGGCAACCGAAGGGCAAAAGAAAGCTCCTATATGCTGGCAGTGCTCTTGTGGTGTTGCCAGCAGCTGCAGAGCTTCCATCACTCACTTTCCTCACAAGATGAAGCTGATTCTGCTGTTAACTGCAGAACCAAGATGGAAAAAAAGTCATTTTTACCAAAAGAAGCACTATAAGAAGCAATACCTTAAAAAGCCAAGTAGGATCAGCATCATGAGGGGGAAGGTGGTGAAGGCACTGCGGTCTGTGTTAGCATCATCTCATGGGGCAAGGGTGTTCCTGCCCAGATGATGGGCGTCCATATCATCAGTTGATTTTCCTCATCATAACAACAGTTGAAAATGGCTTTAAACGTTTTTCTTTTGCTTCTTCACTTTTGCTCCCTTGTCATCCTCCCCTTTGCTGCCACTGTAAAAAGAACCTTGTTTCATAGTGACAAATGTATTCCAAGCATGGCTGGCAGATGCTGGGTGTTTGGTGCCCATGTTATATAATTTGCTATTTAGTAATGGATATTGTGAACATCTCATTCATAAGACAGGTAGAAAAGGTGGCAAGGCTGGTTAGACCTGAAGGTCAATGATTCTCCATCAGCCCAGAGCATAGTCTAGGGGAAAACAGCATAAGAAACAGGACAACTATAGAGTGATTCTTCCCCTGCCTATCTTCCAGATTTTGGCCTTCAATACATTGGCTACTTCCTAAACTTCATAATGCTTTTAATGGCTGCAGACTGGACAGAAGGGCTGGTCCTAGTACAAAGCTCCCTAACTGACACCTTGCCCCAACAAGCACCCTGCCTCCATCAGCTGCAGGGAGGCTAGCTCAGGCTGTGAGGGAGAAAAGAGGAGGAAGGGTGAAGGACAGCTGAGCCAGCTGTCGCTGGGGGGTGGGCCTGCTGCTGAGGGGTCTCCAGCATGGCTGCCAGGGCCATGAGGCTTTGTCCCCTCCTCAGATGAACTGCAAATCTGCTGATAGCTTTCCTCGAAGCCTCATTCTGACCTGAGTTGAAGGCCAGGCAGCAGCAGGCTTTACTCTGTGCTTCCCGCCTCCGTGTCGCGGGGTCACCTGGCGGGAGGGGACAGCATGACTGGGGTCAGGTCCCCACTGCTGAGACCCCACTGCTGGGAGCCCCAGGGTCTGTGTGGTGCTGCTGTCTGGAAATAACTCCCATGGGTTAGTAAGTGCCTGGGAATTTCCACTGATGCCCAATAAGCTTTGCAAGTTTTCTTCATCTTTCTTCTGTCTTTTAGAAGGATGCAAGGAAAGCATCATTCCAGAGTGGGTAACTCAAAGCCTCCAGCCAGTCTGACTGCAGGTTCCAAACCAATTTCCATTCTTGTAGAGTGTTTATTTCCTATACGAAAAATATTCAAAGTAAAAGCAGCTGGGGAGAGAATGTGAATAGCATGGACTCCTCCATTCAAGCCAGAGCCCCGCCTGCTTCTCAGAGAGGCTCTGTCCTGGCAGTGGAAATCATAGAATCCATAGAGTGGGTTGGGTTAGAATGGACCTTAAAGACCATCCATCTCCAGTGCTCCTGCCACAGGCAGGGACACCTTCCACTAGACCTGGTTGCTCAAAGCCTCATCCAACCTGGCCTTGAACACTGCCAGGGAGGGGACAGCCACAACCTCTCTTGGCAACCTGTTCCAGTGTCTCACCACTCTCACAGTAAAGAATTTCTTCCTTCTATATAATCTGAACCTACCCTCTTTCAGTTTAAAACTGTTACAACCTCATCCTATCCCTACACTCCTTGATAAAGAGACCCTCCCCATCTTTCCTGTAGGTCCCCTTTAAGTACTGTACAGTCGCTATAAGGTCTGCTCTCTGTGAGACACATGTGACTGAAGGGTCAGTTTTCCCCTCAAGAACAGGCAGGAGAGACACTCTCAGAGGCAACCACCACCGCTAACCCAGTCCAGCAACTCAATGCAACAGGTTTTCAGTGCTCAGGCATGTTCTCCCACCCAGCCTCTCCCTTTGCATCCCCCTCTCTTCCTGAAAGCTGGAGGAGGAGATATTTGCACTATCTTGGCTCTTTTTCTGCCATGACTGGAGCAAGTGGGATAGAGAAGAAAAACATATTTGGAGAGAGAGAGAATACAAGACTAAAAGAATCACCCTGGTTTTTACTTTGAGTGATTGGTGGATGTCCTGGACTGGTTTGTAGAACAGATTTTGCCAGTGGAAGAAAACCCAAGCCAACTGCACTGTGCACAGGAAAAATGAACACTGCTACAGGCTTTTCTGATACAGGAGACAATGTAGATCATTTGATGTATACACTCAGGTCAATACCAATTTAATTCATCCAGTACATTTCAAATTTTTCTTCCATCCAACAAGTGCAGTTTCTTGTGTATCATAACAGCTCCCTTTAAATGCCATTCATGAGTATACTGTGCATTTTTTAATCATTCAAGATTGCTTTCTTCTGCCATCTTCTGGCAACATGAAAAATCACAGCGTTTCAGTAACAGCAGTGTTGCTGTGCTGGCCTAAGGCAAAGGTTGTCAGTAAAGACAGTGTATAATTATATCGGCATAATTGGAAAAAATATAGCCCTTTTTGCATAGTTGAAAGCTTGCCTAATTCTTCCAGCTCTACCAGTTGATCTAGTAGCTGGTTAGTAGCTGGTTTAGTTGATCTTCAGTGGTTATCCCGGAGCAAAATGTCTGATTTGTAGATCTTGCGTTTCTTGAATGTCTGTAACAGAAAGAGAGAGTTGCATAACATATGAGACTTCACCATTTTATAATAGGACTTCATCAAGTATACTCTAAATATTTTGAAAAGAGTCATTTTTGCCAGTTTTGTTCTCAGTTTTGCTCCTTGACAAAAGACATCTATGACACCACAGGAAGATCTTGTCTGATAGGCATGTAAAGCTTTTCCTTCTACTGCAACAACTATTTCTGTCTGATCTCTCAATGTAAACACCACAAATCATGCCAAAACACCTTGCATTATTTGCTTAAGTCTAAACCAAAACATTTTCTGTATTTTGTTAAAAACATATATAAGATTTCTGTAAGACTAAATTTTGGTTCCTGAGGTTTTTGTCCCTTTTCCTGCAATCACACAGAGGTTTTTTGTAAATGACTACTTGTGATCCCCACTCTCCTGTCACAATAGCATTTCCCACATAGTTGTGCTAAAAATATGAAAATTATATATGATCATTAAAAAAAGAAAAAATTTAAAAGGAGAAAATACCAATATTTCCCCTTAAAATAAACACAAAATTCAGAGCCAATAAGAAAAACTACTCACAAAATTCCAGCCTGCAAAGAGAACATAAATAAAAGCTGTTCAAAGCTTTGTTCAGTTTCACTACCACCAGCAAAAATGACTGCTTGGGATGCCAGGCATTGGAGAGAAAGGATGTTAATGCTATTTATAGCTCACGGGTGGCTCCCATTACCATTGTACCTGAGAAGCTTGCAGTCCTTAATGTATTCCTGCTCACAGCAACTTTCTCAAGCAGAGGACAGCTTTCCGAGGGCTGTGCTGGAGGCACTGAGGTTTGCTTTGGGAAAATGGACTGTTATATTTGCAGTCTGTTCCCAAACTGTCTATTATAAACCGCCTGCAGCAGACACAACCTCCTGCAAGGCTGCACTCCCTGCTTGACTCTGCCTCCTGGGAGCCATGAAGCTGATGCTTTGCTGGAGGCTCTTCCTCCCTTCGTCACCCTGCCAGCTTTGGCATCGATCTATAGTCCACACCAAGCCTCAGCAGGGGACAGCATCAGAAAAACAACAACATAAAACCTGACAAGATAATGGGAGACCCTTCAAAAACTTGCTGACACATAATAATCTTTGCTACTGCCCTGCCTGACCAACTGCAAGACAGGTGGCATCAGCGTGGTATCTGGTGAGTGGGGCAGCACAACACTGCTGGCTGCTTGCAGAGACAGCACTGCAAGGCCTAGCAGGGAAACTCCTTCCCACCAGCCAGCAAATGAAAGGGCAAGCTCTCCCAGTGACCCTGGGACTGGACATTCCATAGAGAAGCAACCATGTCCCCCCTGCCCTTGGCCCCTCATCCATCACAGGCCAGAGAGGTGGCTGCACACACTGCTTTACCCACACTCCCTGACTAGGCAGCTCCCTGGTTCACTCTCATTTACCTGGTACCCCAATACCAGGGAGGAGCAACAGGAAAACCACCCCCAGTTTTATTTCTTCAAATTCAAGATACAGAATTAAGAGCAAACATTCATCAGACACAAATGTTTGCAAGAGAAAGTAAACTCCAGTTCTAGGTCTTAATATCTCCTCTTGGTAGTTTTCATGCACCTCATCAGTGGTCAATTCCTTTGTGACATGACCCTACTTAAAAGGTGACTTAGTCAAAAAACAAATAATCATTTTAAAACCAGCAATTAAAAAAAAATCTAAAGAAAAAACATTCCACCCTGCCCCAACAAAGCTGACACTGTCCCTTAAGCTCTACGATGTGCCTGGAAAAGCTTAAGTGCCAGAATAGGTCTTCCACTGTAGAGTTTTGAGTCTTTTTGCTCTTGATTGCACTCCAAAGAGTTCGTACAGCGTTGTCAACCTTAGAAAAAGGTGCCTTTTTGATTGTACCCTTTCAAGCAAGGCAAGGCAAGAAGAGCACTTCACTGCTTACGTTAAAGGAGCAGGGAAAGACAGACAGCTCAAAGATATCCCTGCCAAATGACTGAGGAATATCAAAATCCCTTTATTCGTGCCTTCAGATCTGAAATCTTGCAAGCTTGACAGCATTGTAAATTTACAGAGGGTTCTCCCCCCTTGGAAAAATAGGGCCTTGGGAAAATATTCACATTGATAAAATATGTTGCGCTGCAAAAGAAAGGAAATGCTCTCCAGGAGCACTTGCATGAGCTAACAATAACATCCTCTCCCCCAAAACCAGCAGGGCACAGGTGAAGCTCCTCCCATGAACCTGAATCCTGTAGCAGGGCCATGAACCTGACTGAGCAAGCTGTTCTCCTCCTGGGGGCTTGCCTCGTCCAAGGACAAGGGTGGCTGTGTGAGCTGGGATGGGCTGTGAGAAGGAGCTGTGTGAGATCAAGCAGTGGGAGGCCTCACTGGGGCTCCCTACCTCACTCAGGAGCCCATCTGAGCTGAGACACTTGGGCTTCAGCTCCACCAGCATCACCTCACAGCTCTGTCCGTGCCTGGCCATGCACCCCCTTGACCTGCCTTAGCACTGTGTGCTCTCCCGGCTATCTGAATCCCTGGCTGAAGCTGGTCGCCCTCACCTGCCCTGCCCTCCCACTGCTCCCACTCCTGAAACAGCCTTGTGTGTCTCTGCCATCCCCAGGTGCATGCAGCTCCCGTGGGGCAGTGGCAGGCTGTATCTGTTCTGCAGCAGACCCTCCAGCCCCACAGGCAGGCCTGCACGGGGATGGGAGGGCTCACTGAGCTTTTTGCTGTTCAGCCCAGTGTAGGCTCCTCACAAAGCAGAAGTTGGTACCTTCCACCTCAGTTTGGAGGAGTCAGAGGGCCCCATCATAAACGTACAAGGCCAGACGTGAACAAAGGTGTCAGGAGGGAGACCAAGCAGTGAAGAGGTGTGAAGACTCAAATTTTCTCCCACCCAGTAAAACACGTCTGCCAGCATAGGGTGAAGGGCATCTGCGAGCTGAACTGATGGTTTAGCTGTGGAGGAGGTTTGCAGGGCTGCTCCCGCTCCTTCCCCACACTGTGGTTAAAGAGAGGGCTGTATTTTCCAGAGCCCTCAATCTGGCATCTTTCCCAGGTAGTAAATTCTCTTAAAAACCGAACCAAACAGAGCTTTACTTGTGCATTCTGCTTTTCTCTTCACTCTGGAATAATGGCAATGGCATTAATACAGTGCTGCATTGAACATGTACCCACACTGAGGCCAAGGGACCGATTCTGGTTTCCATTATTCAGGGGCACTGCCTCTGGTGAGGCAGATCAGGCTTTAAACAGCGAGCAGGAGCAATGAACTTCTACTGTTCCCCGCTGTTTGAATGTGGGCAAAATAAAAGGCCATAATATATGATGCAGTCAGCCAAGAAAGCAATATTGCTCTGCCATGTGCACAGTCTACACCGAGACAAGTCCAGGATCTCATTTCTAAATTCCCATAGGTGCCTCATTTAAACCATCAGCCATAACCTGCTTCTCATTTTCAATACCACTTGGTATTAGAGCTGCAGTGAACTGCTGGTGAGAGATTCTAATTCCTGCAAACAAGCCCCTGTAGGTTTGCAAGGAAAACAGAGAGTTCCCCTCTCGGTTGCCTGCTAGGTTCCCATCTGGCTGTTTTAACTTTGCTATTGCTTTTAAATGTGCCTGTTTCTGCACACGAGGCTTTCAGCTCTACCTCAAGAGACTCCTGGGTTCTCTTAGTGTCGGATTCTGGCCAAAATGTAGAGACACAGATTGGGTCTTCTTAACAAAAAGGAAGATCAGAATTCACATTACAGTATCTGAAAGATTAATTCCACTTACATGATCATTTCCCTGTGAACCACACTTCTTTCCATCTGGATTTTTCCATCACGGGGACAAAGAGCTGTAGTGTTAAGCACTACCTGAGAGAAAAGAGCAAGGAGTGTAAAAGATGAGTGCAGAGATGCTTGCTGAGAGAAAAAAGAAGCAAAAACAGAATAGAGAACAATTTCACATGCATTCATGCATTGAGATTATTTTTTTTTTCCCACATATATTCTGATCTCATGCTTTGGAATTTTGAACCATTTAGTTTGACAGACTTTGATTCAGGAATTAGGATATTTGGCTGCACAAGCTTTCTGTATCATGTTATTGTTATCTAGTGTTTGCATTATTTTAGTAACCACAGCCAAAATCAGTGCCCTGTTGTGCCCAAGGCTATCAATAATCTCATGTAAGACCTTGTTATTGAGACACACCTGTCCCTATCTGGGCTACCCTCATAATCACAAGCAGAGCTGTGCCAGCTAGGAAGGTGCTAGCAAAAGAGATAGAGGAAAGATGACTTGGGGCCCAACTAATGCCTTGCAATAGAATCCTCCTGGGAGCTTGAATAGCTATTTAATCTCTCTACAGCCCAGTTCAGTCTTTAGGAGTCAAGGTAACAACATGACAAAATGGCAAGAGGCTTTCCCCCTGTTGTAGAAGTGAAAATGAGGGCTAGGTGAGTAAATGGCTGCTCAGTTAGTGGTCATTTTTAGTTAGACCAAACATGTTTTTCTCAACCAGGAACAAGCCACTTTTACTTTAGCATTGCATAAAATCTGTTAAAATATTAAAACAAGACAAGGTTATTTTTTTTTAAATAACGAAATGAACTATTTCAAATCTACAATAATGGAGTGCTTGTGTTTTTTCCAGAACTTTGCTAAGTTTTCTTTGACTGGAATCTGCAAATGCAACACAAATCCGTTAAATGCTTTAGCCAATTCAAGTCAGTGGGGGTTGTGCATTTTTTTCTTCTCCTTGCCAAAAAAAATCTTCAGTAGAAAATGGCAATTGTTTCCAGTGTAGAAAAAGAAAGAAAAAGAAAAGCCTTGCAGACTGTAGTACTCAAGTGACCAGATAATACCAGGGAAGATACAAAGCTCTCAGTGAAGTTGTTGTAAAGGAGGTCCTGTACTGACCACGTCCCTCGGGAGCCGCACCCAGCTGCATGTAAGCAGGGTGTGGAGTCACCCCCAGCCCTCCCTGGGTGTTCCCTGAAGCTCCGCAGTGTCGGCCCTGCAGCCTGTGCCTCCGGGGTGGCTCTTGTGCCCCCCAGGGAAATCCAAGCCTCCACAGCTCAGATACTGAGCCAACCAGGCACCAGCCATCTGCGGGGGTGCCCCAGTGCTCTGGGTGTGTGGGAACTGATGCATAATCAAAACAGTTTTAAAGCTTGTGCTACCTTATATTCTCCTGGGGAAGCAAGGAGGTTAACACATCTGGATTGCCCTTAAAACCTCCATGTAGTCTCAAATGTCTCCTATAGTTAGAAGGCTATTTTTGGTTGCTGTTGTTTTTAACTAGAAAAGAAAAGGGAGGGGGGTGTGTGTGTGTGTGTGTGTGTGTGTAAGAGAAAGAATCTAGATGGTCTAGATCTCTGCAGAAAACATTAGGGACTTTGTAAGAATTTTTTTTTTTTTTTTTTCCAGTTACAGGGGCTTCTGCCCTCCTGCTCTCACTGGCTGTTTCCAACAAGAGCAGCTTCTGGGAGCCACCCAGAGGGAGAAGCTTAGAGAAATGAAATCAGTGGCAACACTTGCTAGCTTTGCAGTATCTTAAAGTAGTAGCGGGGTGGGCGTGGGGGGCAGGGAAGGAACCCTCAGCAAAGTCCCTGGTCTTCAATTAAAAAATTCATATTACTTTCCTCATTAGTCCAGTCATCTGGCATAGCTATTTCCAAGCTTACCCCAAAGGCCCCGCAGAGCAATTCAATTTCAAGACCAGTGCAGCGCAGGACAGAGCAATGTGCCTGGGAGGAGCTATGCTTCGTGTTCACACGAGGAGCTCACTCATCTGGTGTTAGTCATGTGAAGCAAACGATGCTGACACACTTTTTGGAAAGAGCATTGCTGTATGAAAGGGAGCCTGGAGTTGCCTGCTAAATTTCACCAGCACCAAACAAGCTCAATACTTGGGGAACCTCCTCAAAGTTGGGTCTTGAACAAGAGGCCTTGCAATGTAATTCTCTCTACTAATCATCGCCATTACTGTAACTAGCTGACAGGCTACAACAGAAGTTTAAAGCAGTGGGGACTAGGAGAACTGAAAGTTTAGTATCCATCTGCTTACCTCCATAACTTTCTGCAGCAACTGAGAATCATTCACACTCCTTAACAATGAGCCTGTGGTTTTATGGATCTCCTGATGTAGAAGCTGTGTTATCTTTTTCTTGATTTCATTTTACTGCTTCAGCTTAATGTTCTGTGTTGGTGAAGTACAGACGGGTCATCATGACAGTGCAAGACACAGTGTGTCTTGAGCACAGTGCATGACTTTTGCAAGGCAGTAAAACCTGTAGGGCAATACACAATATCTTTTTTCTGTGCTATTCTTCATGCTAATCTGTTCTGGGATTACACAACATACTTTTTTACCAAAGCTCTATGAGTTACATTATCTGCCCTGAAAAATTTGTTGGCTTTTATCCCTTTATTTCCCTGCAGTTCTTGGCCTTCATCATTAAAAGTAAAATCAGTCAGCTTCTTTTCCATTTCTCCCATCATTTTTATTGTGCTTTTCATATTTTGCTTATTAAATAGTTACCTACAGAGACTTCCTTTTTATTGGAACATACAAAAAGCTACAACTGCTCTTAACATTTGTGGGGAGGAGGAAGAGGGAGAAGGGAGCAGGTGAAGCAAATTTAGGCTGAGGACACAGAAATATGTGTGATGTGTTCAATAATATGTCTTGCATCATCTCACTTCTTTTTTTCATAAGCAACAAGATATTATCCCTTGCTTTCTGCTGATTCTCCAAATCAGCCTACACTGTTACAAATAATGTACTTGGATGTTTGGACAAAGTTGTTGTTGTTGCTTTAAGAGCAACATCTAACATCTATCTGGTTGCTGCTGTTGTAGGGCAGGGGACAGATGAGATGACTTCCGAAGGTCCCATCTGCACATGTTTTCTAGAATTGTGGAGAAAATAAACCCAAACTCTAGATTTAGGCATTCAGGCATTAGAGTGAAAGTTGGTGCCACATCAGAATAAACACCAAGCCACTCTACTTTGAGAAGAGTTCTAGTGTGACTCTCACATTCATTATGGATTTAATAACAGCAAACAACCAAATGAAGGTCATCAGTGTTCTCTAGCAGTGAGAACAACAATTCAGGATAATGAGAACCTGGCAGGAGAAATGATTCTAAGGTCTCAGAGAAGGGACTGCTTGGATATCTTTGAACTCTTGCTCTCAGCTGAGCTCTGCTTCAGGCTGGACTGTCTGGCCCAAGCTTCTTGGGTCTAAACCAGCAAACAACTTTGCAAAAGGGATGTCCATATTCCACTGCATGATCCATGAGGGAGCAAAACAGTCCTAGATGGGATTCTTAACAGGGCAACCAGGCCAGAACTTTCAGCTCTATAATTTCCCCAAATTCAGATGCTCTTTCTTCTCACATCCCAGGTAAGTACTCTACCTCTCAGATGAGAGAAACAGCCTCTCTCTGGAGGCAAATAGCTACCACATTGTTTATACAAAGTAGAACAGCTCCCAGAGGAGACTGAGAGAGACAGACTCAAGTGTACAGTATAGCTGAGTGTTCAGGAGTATTCAACAGAGAGATAGAAAAAACTAGTTCAAATTCTCTCCATTTCTATCTATATACATACAGACATATATATGTATGTATATATGCATGTGAAAATCCATTCATATGTATACATGTATGTATGTGTATATATGTGTTTAAATACATCCCTATAAATGAAAGAAAACTATGCACATACATTTTATATATGTATACACATACACTATATGACTGTATCTTACACACACAGAGAGCCAAAGATTTCCACCTTGGCCCTAGAAGCTTTGTAAGTGTAAGTCAGTCCAATGATTCATTCTTTCAAATACTTTCAGTTTTAACTAACCAGAATCAAGTGTGCACAAACACTTTGGTAACCTTCCAACATAAAGTACTGGAGCTTTCTTGCATGCACTCAACAGCGCTATAGTAACAGGAATAATACCTGCACCTACAAGGTTCAGTTAGTGCTGGTTTGGGTGGCACAGGATGTTCTTTTTCAATAGTGTTACTTGACAAGAAATTACATCATATCGTGGTATGCTGCTGCTTTCTCAGGGGATGGATTACATGCCTGTAGAGTCCTACCACAGAATCAGTCCTACTCTCTGGATGCTTTTAGCAACACCTGCAGGCCCTGCCGCACACACTAATTATAATAATGTAATGCTATTTGGAGGGTAATGAACAGGACTTCTTTCTAGGAAATATTATTTCTGTATGAAAGTTTCCTCTTAATTTCAGAAAAGCTGTCTCTGATACAGCCTGAGTGTGTGCAAGAGAGGAGCATGATGCCTCACACCAGAGACTCTTCACCTCCGACTAGCAGTGCAGGGAGCAGAGCTTCCTATGAAACACCAGCACTATCAGACCTTCAGCAGCTCTTTTGGTTCAGAGGAGGGTCTGATAATCATGTGGACCAAGTCTGGCCAAATATTTACCTGGGAGATGCGTAAGAACATATGGTCCTATCATTACGCTGTTACTGGTCCCTGGGAGGAGGAAGAAGGGGTGCAGTAACTGGGGAGCAGCTTTTGGGTCTGCAGGAATGTTTCTGCAATACGGGCTTCCAAAACTGGTAACATAAGGAGTTTGGATGTCATGAAAAACATGACATACAAAATGGTGACTTGCTCATAGCGTGTCTGAGTTGGGTTTTCTATAATCTGTGAAGCACAGAGGATTTGGCAGGGGAAGAATTATTTGCATTCTAGACAAAAGTCCTTAAAGAACCCACTCCAAATTGGTGTCAACTCTGAGATGCATTATCTGCCCTGGAAACTGTGCTCTAAGTCAGCAAACAGGAGCACCGTAGCCCTCACACTCAAATAGGAGTAGCAGAATCAACAGCCAAATCGAGGAGGACTCAAATGAACAATACAATAGGGACTTTGCCAGTCCACATCCAAAATTTCTTTCAAAGATGGTAAAACTGAAAATATCAAACAGGAATTTTCATGCAAATACCTTATTCTTGTGACCACTTCTATTTACTGCCATTTCCTTCTATTTTGATTACTGCAGATTACATAGATCATCAGTTCATTTTTCCTAACCCCTCCTCCTCATGAATATATCAGTTAAAGATCACAGTTTGGTGGAATAACTTCAGTCCGAGTTTATGGTGGGAAGCAGGGAGAACCTGGCTGGTGTGCATGATGCAGCTGCTTCATGTCCAATCCAGGAACGAGGTGCTGCTACATCTGTGGGGGTACTCGCCCTTGCAACCCATGCATACTATGAATGAGAGATTAGCTCTAGAACTTGGTAAACAACTATTTATAGGAAAATCTTGACCACTTTGTATAGTAAACCATGTTCCCAGGGATTAACTGCTGGGAGGCATTTGCTTAACTAACAGTATCCCACCAGCAAGCCTGTGTTCTTGCTGCTCCCCACACCACCATATCACATTTTTCATGTGCAGAGCACTATGGGCTTCTAGAAATGTGCTACTGTAAGCAAGCTGCAGTTCCTGCATCCTTCCCTAGCAGGAGCAGGCACTAACTTTAAAACCATGCTATTTTAGCAGAATGTTAGGAGTGTTGCCAATGAGCCCTTCATGTCTTTCAACAGGTGGGCTGCTAGGAGCAAAACTACTCTTCAAAGCCTCAACATTACTCATATCCTTAATGCAGCAGATGGGCCATATAGCATCAACACAGGAGCCAAATATTACAAAGATCTGCAAATAGAGTACTACGGCGTAGAAGCATTTGATGATCCATCATTTGATTTAAGTATCTTCTTTTACGATGCTGCCAATTTCATAGGCAAAGCCTTAAACACTTCAGGAGGTAAGAGGGAGGCAAAGAGAAGTTTTGGTAGGAAGTTTCAGCACAAGCCAAATGACTTCTCATTGCAGTAACAGGCAGGCAGAAAAGCTCAGATTCAGCATACAGTTCGAGACGACACATGCAGAACCGCTGCACCAAGTATGGGAGAAGGGGGTCTATGCCATGTGCTGCAGGGAAGGGGGCCATGGCCAGGTCCCTGGGAGCCAGGGAAGGCTGGCAGCCCCAAACCCAGTGTGGTGGGAGGAAGGGCCAACTCCAGGAGCAGAGTGAGAGGGAAGAGGCTCTGGCACTACGGGTGCTCCCTCATGGGTCCTCCCTGCGGGAATTGGCAGGATCCGTGTGCCTTCACATGCACCTCGTACCCGTTGCACCCCAGCATGGGCTCCAGCCCGGTGATCCTGCCTGGTGTACCACAGCCCTGCTCCCAATCCCAATGCACTCAGCTGGGAGCAGTGGCACTTCAGCTTTGGCTTAAATGCTTCACATGCTTAAGTGCTTCACAGAACTGGAGCTTTATTCAGACTGTCTATTAAGCTAGAGAAGCAGCAGAAGTTAATGAACTAAGTCAAAAACTACGAGCCTGACCCACAGCCTGCTGAATTTTTGTCAGCAGAGTTTGGATTATGGCCTAGTTATAATTTCCATTTGTTCCAGAGTTTGCTCCGACTCTGACTGGCTGCAAGATCTGCTGCTTTCACTGGAGTGCTTTATTAAATCCCCAGTTATAGCTCACAGTGGGCTGCTGAGATACAGTAAATTATGAGTCCGTTTTTACAGGCAGACTATCCTACAGAGTTTATGAGACTTGTCAGTGATCACAGTGAGGGCTGGGCCAAAATTTTCTGCCAAAACTGTTGGGGTTTTTTTCCACAGAAAACTATACTAACAAGTTTAGTCACAGAAAGCTTCTCCTTCCACAGAAAATGTCAACTATTTTAATCTGAAGCCTAAATTAGATGCAGGAGGTCAGTATGAAATACTACCTTGCTGGAGATTTATAGCATTATCTTATAATAGCCCTCCCTGAAAACAGGAGTATCAGCTAATTGTCACCATTGTTTTCTGAACTTGTTTCTAGTAGTTTTTGTCTTCCCTGTGTTTTTCTCACTTCAGAAATGCTAAATTCCACTCACATTTCTGTGCCTCTTTTTTTCTGCAGGTAAGGTGTTTGTTCATTGTGCCATGGGGGTGAGCCGCTCAGCATCTTTAGTGCTTGCCTTTTTAATGATCCATGAAAACATGACACTCGTGGATGCTCTGAAAACAGTGAGTGCTCACAGAGACATCTGCCCAAATTCAGGGTTCCTCAGCCAGCTCCGGGACTTGGACATTAAACTAAACGAAGAGCGGAAAGGAACCAGAGCATCTGCTGCCAAAGAGCTGTAAAAAAGTATC